AACAAAGGTTGGCAATATGGTCTGGCATGCTGCCTTCGATGCCGGCGAGGAAGCATCAAGTCTGACCGACCAAGAGCTGAGGCAAGAGCTGAGGCAAGAGCTGAGGCAAGAGCTGAGGCAGGATGCAAGAGCCAGTAATCCCTTCCTCGCGGAAGAAGCCAGTCTCAAGGGGCGCAATGAATCGCTTGGGTCTCAGCGGGTGGCGCAACGGCCTTGGCTAAGCAGGGGACAGGAGGATGGCAACCACGAGGAGACGCTTTAGCTTTGGTCGCACTCCGTTTTCTAGCCTCATCCAGAGCTCACTGGGGGTATGACAGCGACTTCGTCGCCCTCCTTTATGACAAGGCTGTTCTCTCCGTCTTGGTCTTCATCTAGATCGATGTACTCGAGGTTGACGGTCACAGCGCAGCTGCTGAGGACCTTCTCGGTGAAGCCGGGATACCGCTTCTCAAGGACCTGGAAGAGGTCCCGAGCGGGCAACGGTGCTCTGAAGATCTCCGAGCTTTTCTTCGTGAAGGATGAAGCGGCAGCAAAGTATAGGAGAGTAAAGTGGCCTTGCGGCGGCTTGGAGCTTGCCATCGGGATTTTTTTTTTTTTTTGGAGAGCTGCGCATTTGTGTTAGCCGGTGTTGGGGTCCGTTCGAGAGGAGTGGTCAGTCGCAAGGCCGAGAGCTATCAGAGGTGATTTGAGATTGTGTCCGCATACACATGCCGTTTCGACATGTGTCAGACAATACATGCTAAAACGATGTTCGTCACGCCATGGGTTGTTTTGGGAGAGCACAGAGTGCCAAACTTACCAGTTCAGTGCCTTGTGAAGCACCAGAGTAACTCGGAGCTCTTGAGTTGAGCAACCTGTAACTGTCGTCAAGCCGGGCGGATGGGCTTTCTAGGAGCTTTCTAGGGGCACGCTCAGCCGATGCGGCCCTCTCGCGCACGTGATGCGGATCCTCAAAGCTCTCGCACCTCAGTCCAAGGACCGCACTGCCTTTCTTCCACTCACTCACTCACTCACTCACTCACTCACCCACCCACTTCACAACCACACACCACTGCTTAAGGTGCCTAGACTGTTCTCGTCCGTGCAGGTCGCCCAGCGTCCGTCTATAGGCCTTTCTGTCTGTAAAGGTAGGTGAGCCAACCAACGCATTCTCACTACCGCCCTTCCCACCGAATGATGAAAATACATATTGGAGCTGTCCTACCGCCAGGATTGAGGATAAACCTTTACCGAATACGCAAAACCACTGACATTGCATCTGCTCGCGCTTGCAAAGCTGGACCTGCGAACCAAGGCCTATGCTAACTCCGTGAACGTACAGCATAACCGTCTTTAAAGAAGCGACGTGAAAGAACCCATCACTTCAGCGTACCTGCCTAAGCTGCGGCTCTCTGACGTCCGCCTTCCCTAACAAACCAAACGGTCGTATTTTCGCGCACCTGGCCATCATGACAGCAGATCCGCGAAGGGCGCGCGCAATGCCTGCGGCACCACCTCCGCCACCGCCCCCACCGGTAGAAACGATGCCGGACTCGACGAAGATGGGCCTTGATGGGGCGAACGACTCAAATATACCACGAACAGAAGCGCCAGAGGAGGATGACAGCTTCAAGCTGAAGTTTTGCACAGTGTGTGCAAGCAACCAGAATAGGTAAGTCGGGAATCATGACTGGCATTTGTTCTACGACTAGTTGTGATATTCCGCAACTCGACGCCTATACATATAAAATGCGGTGTCGCCAATATGCCGCCGCCGCTCTTCCATTTCAGGTTGGAGGCTGCATGGTGGGCTTCCAAGTACCCCATAAAATCAAACGTAACCTAGTCTCTCAATGCACTCGCTCTGTCGTGCTCATTGCTCGCTGCATCTCCCACTACTTGCTTCCTGTGCCCGCTTGATCCCGCTCGTCGCAGAAGGATGGGCAAGCAGTAGACATCCCATCACAAGCACTCAGCCCTAGTCGTCCGCCCAAAACCTATCTAACACACCCTCACCAGATCAATGGAAGCCCACGACCGCCTCTCCCGCGCCTCCTTCCCCACCCTCTCCTTCGGCACCGGCTCCCTAGTCCGGCTCCCTGGCCCCTCCATCTCCCAACCCAACGTCTACGAATTCGACTCGGTATCCTACGACCACATCTACCGGGAGCTCGAGTCGCGTGACCCGCGCCTCTACAAAGCGAACGGCCTGCTCAACATGCTGGGGCGCAACCGCACCGTCAAGCTGCGGCCGGAGCGCTGGCAGGACTGGAAAGTCGGGATCCCGCGGCTGGAACAGAAGGCGGATAGGGGGAGTAAGGGCACCGAGGGCGGGGTTGTGGACGTGGTCATTACGTGCGAGGAGCGGTGCTGGGATGCTGTTGTGGATGATCTGTTGAACAGGGGTAGCCCGCTCAATCGGCCGGTGCATGTGTTTAACGTTGATATCAGGGATAATCATGAGGAGGCGTTGGTGGGGGGGAAGGCGATTCTGGAGCTCGCGACGGCGCTGAACAAGGCGGCGGCGGAGGAGAGACAAACACACGGTACGGATGGGTGGCATATGGGTGCTGGGGCGGCGAGAAGCGGGTTCGACGAAAGAGTTCCGGATATCCTGGCAGAGTGGCAGGACAGGTGGCCGACTCTACCAGCCCTGTGGACGCTGGCGTGGTTTTGAAGCACGCGTGGATGTGTGTGCGTCCGTGATCTGGATTTTCAAGCATAGCGATCAGGTGTTGCGGCGCTTGAGTGTCACGCTGGATATCTGACGCTGCCTCTAGGGCTTTATACTTAGATACCATTTGATGAAATTACGTATATGCACCCTGGGTTCGATCTCCTAGCCCCTGAGTCAGCTGCTTCGCACAGTGACCCGGTTCACCTGTGGTAACATTTGTTGGAAGTCTCCAGCAGCTAGCGGCACCTGCTCACGTTCTCGAACGGCCAAAAACCCAGCTACACTCTCCAGAGAGCTACTAGCTTAAGGTCGTAAGGATAGAGTGCGATTCAGGTGAGCCCGAAGCCCGCAATTTTGGAGTTAACCTGTAAAAGGTGAACTTTTGCTGTGTCCCACAGGAGAGACTCGGAGTCTAGATTGTGCCTGATCTGGAAGCGGCTGCTTCATCGAAGGACAATGCAAATCAAATCGCTGGGAGAGGATACTGACTATAACAAAGATTATCGATAGTGAGAAGATGAAGAGCGAAAGATACTCTCTAAGAACAGCTATCTATTACTACTTTCTAAAAGTATAGAGCGAGTATTAATACACGATTGATATATCTCGACACGGTGATCTGAAATGGGTCGCTTGGAAGCGGGAAGCCGGGGGAGCATGCGGCCCTTTCAGGGGACCGACCCCCTTGTATCGAATCCTCGTCATTGCGGATTGCGACGCGAAACCACCCAGCAGATCACTGCCCACAATTTTCACCCACTACCGTTAGGGGGAGGGGGAGGTACGGAGTCACGGAGTCACGGAGTCACGGAGTGCACCAGTACAATCGGCGGCCGCTGCTCTCTTTCTCAAACTTGAATGCTCAATGACGACGCTGGACTGCAAACGAGTCTTTACGTGCAGGAGTGGCGCCGGGTCAGACAGCAGCATCGTGGTTCAGCGTGGTCTTCAGCATTGCGGCGCCGAAGAATAACTCAGATGACCTCCCTGCGTCCTGATCCCGTCCTGATCCCGTCGTGATCCCGCCCTGATCCTGCTGGTTAACTAGGTAACGTGAAGGCAGAGAGCTATGATGATGCAGGTCAAATTTGAAAGTGACCAGTGAGAGGAGGCTACCTCCGTAAGGTGCCACGCTGAATGAACGATGACAAAGCCCATTTAACTCGTTGACTTCTGCAACGCCGCCAGCCTCCATCTCTTGAGCCCGTCTGTCAGATCTCAAACCCTTAGCCTTGTACATATGTAATCCTGCAATACAATCCCGGCACACGTTGTTGTGCTCTGACCGACCGCCTCTATCCATCTTTAGCGTACACCCCCATCCTTGCCTTCCGCTCCATAGCCTGGTGGTGCGTCTTCTGCAGGCCTCTCTTGCACTGCACGCCGCCGTCCCTCGGTCCAGCGCTAGAGACAGGTGGTTCCGACAGCAGGAAACGCCGGTAAAGAAGGTAGTTACAGTGAAGGCCCCAGGAAGAGCTTCACAATGCCTATGATAGAGGTGCGTTTGATTCCAGTGCTGGTCAGGCACGTCAGGCACGTCAGGCTCGCGACCGTAGAGTCGTAGAGTACTGCGGGCAGCCATTTGGGAGCCTTTCTGCTCCAAGGAAATGGCTCCTGGCCCCACACGAGATTGAGATTGGCGGGTTTGTCATCTCTGCACACACATTCTTCAAGGTTGAGGTTGGGCCTTGCTGCTTCCTCGTTCTTTGGCCCTTCCTGCCTCTTGAGCAGCGAGCGTCATTGCTCTCGGCAAAGCAAAACATCCGTCATACCCTCCCCCCATCCTCCCTCCTCTTCGTCATCCTGCAACCACTACCCTTAATCCGCACCACACACCCACCACTGCTACCTACCTTACCTGTCAGCTCCTGCAGCTTGCCAGTGCCCCTTTCCCTCTCCACTTTCACTTGCTCTGCTAGCACACCCGCACTACCACTACGCACCCCCAGCAACGCTTCTTTCTTCCAAATCTCCTCCGCCTTGTTCTCCGAGCTTGTCGCTGCCGGCCGTCCGACCTCGCACGACACAACACTAAACCATGGCCGCAATACAGAACTTCAAGAACTTCCTCCGCCATGGGAAGCAAGCTCGCGCCGCGAACTCGCCTCATGGCGAAGCAACTACCAACGTCTCCAACGTGCACGCTCAGCAGCAACGCTACAACAACAACAACAACTACGCGCCTCCGCCGCCCGCCGACCATCACTACGCGCTCAGCGATCCGAATGTGCTGCAGCACAAGCCGTTACAGGCCAACGCCTACGCCGGTGACTACTCCGCTGCTGTCATCGACAACCGGAACGTCGCCGCCAGAGCTGGAGACGCTGCTGCCAGAGCTGCTGGCGATCATCAAAAAGCCCAGGTACACGACAAAGCAGGAGCGGTAGACCGGAAAGCAGACTACGATCCAACCGTGCTCGAGCGCATCATCGCCGAAGAACGGGAGAGCAAAGGAAAGCTGCCAAGGTACCCCGGTCTCGAGCGGTGGACACTGCTGGAGAAGATGGGAGACGGCGCATTCAGCAACGTGTACCGGGCAAAGGACAACACTGGCCAGTACCCCGAGTGTGCCATCAAAGTCGTTCGCAAATTTGAGATGAACTCAAGTCAGGTGAGTTAGCGTATTGACGGTCGCGGAATCCTCGACTGCGTTCTCCTCGCCCGTTTCTACCTCCTACGCCTGCCTTTCTCGCGTCGCATCTCCTTCCATGTTCATATTTGCAAGTTCGACGCCAACGAGGTGGTTGCTAGGGCGATAAACATCTTCATCCCGACTTCAAGAAGATGCCGAAGACTGTGGAGGTGCGCAACTCTTTCCTACTCCGCTCTCAGCACAGTACAGCATGACGACTGCTTTCGATGTTTTGCTTCCCGTCCTGGCTGGATCATAGTCGCTGACACAATGACCTTCCAGCGGGCCAATATCCTCAAGGAGGTGCAGATCATGCGGCAGCTAGATCATCCCAACATCGTCAAGCTCATCGAGTTCTCCGAATCGCGACAATATTACTACATCATCCTCGAGCTGTGTCCTGGCGGCGAGCTCTTCCATCAGATCGTCCGCCTCACCTACTTCAGCGAAGACCTGTCTCGACATGTCATTGTGCAAGTGGCGAAGGCACTAGAGTATCTGCACGAGGAAGCCGGCGTAGTACATCGGTAAGTCTCCCACAGGATCTCTGGTGGTGGACATGACTGACGTCATGTGACAGTGACATCAAACCCGAAAACCTCTTGTTTTACCCAATCCCCTTCATACCGACAAGGAATCCGAAGCCAAAGGGTCCTGAGGATGAAGACAAGGCCGACGAGGGCGAGTTCATCAAGGGTCAGGGAGCTGGCGGTATTGGCGTCATCAAGATTGCCGATTTCGGGTTATCCAAAGTCATCTGGGACAGTCAGACGATGACACCTTGTGGCACCGTAGGCTACACGGCGCCAGAGATTGTCAAGGATGAGCGATACTCCAAGAGTGTTGACATGTGGGCGATGGGATGCGTTCTCTATACCCTTCTCTGCGGCTTTCCTCCATTCTACGACGAAAGCATTCAGACGCTCACCGAAAAGGTCGCACGCGGACAGTACACCTTCCTCTCGCCCTGGTGGGATGACATCTCCAAGTCTGCTCAAGATCTTGTCAGCCACCTGTTGACCGTGGATCCCGAGGAGCGGTACGATATCAAGCAATTCCTAAACCACCCGTGGATCCGTGAAAGCGGAGAAGAGACAACAGCTGCAGCAGACGCTCCTCCACTCGCCACGCCGCTCTACGCGCGCCAAGGAAAGAAGAGCAACGACATGACGCCGTTGCAGCCAGACTTCGCCTACCTTGAGTCGCCCGGAGCTCGCCGCATGGACTTCCGGTCTCCTGGCGCAGTCAACCTCCGTGAGGTCTTTGACGTCAGCTACGCCGTGCATCGTCAGGAAGAAGAGGGCAAACGCCGCAAGAACTTCAAGCAAGGTTACCGTGGCGCGAACGCCATGAACAGTCTGAACGCACTCGATGAGGATGAGGAGATGGACGAAGACTTCGTCGAGAGCGTACCGTATGATCCTCGACAGCAGAATCTCCCAGCCAAGCTACCGAAGAGCCAAGCGGCGGACGTCAGCGCCATGGAACAGAAGATGCGGAATACGTCGCTGAGCGCAGCCGCACAGGCCCGGCAACAAGGCGCGCCGAGACAGGAACAAAAGGGCTACGGTCAGCATAGTGCTGCCGTTGCGGCGGCAGCTAAGAGACAGGTACGGAATAAGGGCGCCTTTGAGCTGACTCTGGATAACTCGACGTTGTTGGGCAGGAGACAGAAGAAAGAGGCAAACATGAGCAGCCTGAATCAGCAGGTCATGACATGAGCGGATGTTGGAGACGTGTTGCGCTGTACAGGCCGGTCGGTTTTGGTATCGGCACACGCATGGAAGGACTTGCTCCGCTGTCTTCGTTCCGGCCAGCCGTTCCCCAAAACATCCCTCATTCGATCTACCCGAGCATCAGTTGTGCCCTGTCATCTCAGTGGAACACTCTTTCCTCTCAGTCTTTCTTGGTTTGATTTTCGTTACAGCTGCATCAGGGACCATCTGCACTAGGGTTGTGCGTTTAGTCGGTAGTTAGAGCGGGCGGGTAGCGGCACTGCTGGGTCATGTATGTCTTGTTTAGATGCTTCTCAGAGACGTATGATAGACAGAACAACGGAGGGAATCTTAATCTTGACTACTACAAACCTAGATTAGGGACCTGCCGGGCAAAATGAGTGTTGAGGGATACTTTACCACCTCTATCTGGGTTCTCTCCACGGTGCTTGTGGGCGAGCATCTTAGAGGCAACTAGGAGTAATACTACAGCTTGCAGCTGGACTGCGCGATGTTTCCGCCGTCCTTACAGGCAGCTGACAGGGGCGCCGAACCGTGACACGCCTTTACGGCAGCCCCGAGCTGCGCCGCACCGTAGCCAATCTCTATGTTAGTTCTAGATTAGAAATGCTTTGAGACTTCTTTTTGGTAAGCCTGATGGCTTACTAAAGAGCCCCTGGTAGCTGACTGATAACCTCACCTCCGCTAAGGGCTACTAGAGACTTGCGAGTCCCCATCCTCACCAGTTAAGTAGATAAGAGCATGCCCCGCATCTATTCCTCAAGGTAACACAACCTCTTTTACTCTCACTAGACAATTATGAAGATAGCTTTGCAATACCTTTCAACGTTTCTCCCGTTTCTGTTGCTTTTTCACTTGTCTACTGCACAACTAACTCTCTTTGACGACTGGGCTCATCTAAGGGTTCGTTTGAGAGACGTTAGTATTCACCTCCGTTACGCTGGATCCGGACCACCAATACTGCTGGTCCATGGAAACCCTCAGCACAGTGTATGTATAAGATCGACATGCTCTGTGCTTTCTGACAGGAAGTCAGCTCACATGGCACACCATTGGCCCGATTCTCGCCCAACACTACACAGTCATTGCCCCAGACAACCGAGGAATGGGTGACTCCTCAGTTCCCTCCAATGATGACTACTCTGCAGAGACCGTTGCAGAAGACCTTAAAGGCGTGCTCGATTTCCTGAACATCACACAAGCCTACGTCTTCTCGCATGACAAAGGCGTCGGATTAGCTGCAGCGCTGGCGGCTAAGTACCGCTCTCTCGTCAGGCGCATCGGCTTCTCCGAATACCTCCTGCCCGGCTATGGCTACGAGCAAATTGCTTGCCCGGCGCCCACTTGGAGCCTGTACGGACCCTGGCAGCTCGCCTTCTTCAGCGTCCCTGACGCAGCGCAGTATTTCATCTCCGGTAGAGAGCGGGAGATGCTGGCGTGGTACTTCTTCCAGGCCTCCTACTCAGGGATGGAGTCGATCCCTCATGATCATCTAACTCGCTATGCGACGTCGATATCCAAGCCCGGCTTCTTGAGAGCGTGTTTGGGCTACTTCTCCACCGCTACTGTTGCAGCGGACGGCAGGTTCTTCAACGCAACGCTGAAGCCAAATCCGCTTACGCAGCCTGTGCTAGCGCTGGGTGGAGAGGCCAATTTCGCGCCTGTGAGCTTGGTAGAGCAGGCTTTCGGTCCTGTCGGGATTGATGTCACTGCTGACCTCGTTCCGAAGGCTGGACACTGGATAGGTAAAAGGATCTGTGTCAAACGTGCTGCGGCATTGCACTGGCTGATGGCTGTCATAGCTGACGAGAACCCTATATGGGTTGCAAACCGACTGCTCAGCTTTTTTAGCGACAATGCGGACGGCATTCCGGCTGTGAACTTATCGTCGCTTACGGGCAGAGTGACGTTGGGTTAGAAAATGTGGTTGTATTTGTTGATGTGAAGCTTGCGGTAGCCTGTAGTTGCACACTGTTTTGGATTGGCCGTGGGCCAGTCTCCCTGCAAGGGAGGGGGCTAAGCACCCCGCCCTGTTGATACAATTGCGCGGACTCCATAACCAGGAAGCAGTAAACCACGACGTAAATAATCAGTTATATAGCTTTCGATATTCTATCTAGAGGCTATTATAGCTTCTCGCCTTAGTATTTTATAACTAAGCACATGTGCATGCTATATAGAATTAATTTAGTCTAGTTATCAATTTTATTTTGTAGTAGCTTCTGAATTTACTATTTATAGAGTCCGCGTATTTGTATTAATAGAGTGTATTCTATATCGCTATTTTGTTTTTTTAAATATACTAAGATTCTACTTACTAGATTACTTTCTTAGCTACTTACTAAGTATCTTTAAAGAATTGTTTTTTTATAAGTATTTTCAATGCTTTTACTACTCGGGAAAAAATAGTTCTAGCTAAGCGGCTGAAAAATTTGCTAATACTAATAGTGTCGTGGGTAAGAGATTTGAGTATAGACTCAAGTAAGTAGATCGTGCGCGTCCGCGGAGGTAAGGTATTAAGGTAGGACTATTAAGGCAGTAATAGAATCACGGTAATAGGTTATATAAGGCTAAATAATATATAGAATAAGAGTGGTAATACTTAATACTATAATATAACTAATACTAGTTTTATTAGTTTTTTCTAATTAATTAATAATAATCCTTAAATCTCAGCACGCGTACCCTATACTAGCTCCTACGTAATAAACCTCCTGCACTACTATATACCTCCCTTACCTAGTAGCTATCCTCTAGCTACTCTAATTCTTTAAATAGTAGTATAAATAAACGCTAAGATCGCTAAAGAATTAGAACCTTAAATCCTACCGCTGCAACTTACTACTAGTAAGTCCTCTTACTAATAGCGGTTCGGCTTACTATAAACCCGTCCTAACGCGTTTACCTCCTCTATAGCCTTATAGATAGCTTCTTAATCCGCCTTCTTAAGCTCCCGTATAATAGCAGCTACTAACTCCTTCTCTAAAGCTATTAAAGAAGGTGGGACCTAACCTTTAGGCTCTTTAACTATACTAGTAGCACTGTTTTTAGGCTAATTAATACTAATAGAAGCACTATCCTTAGATTGTAACTCCCTACTACTAGAACTACCCTTAATACATCCTATAATATCTCTAGAAACGCTCTTTATAGGCTTACTACTATTACTAGACACGCCCTTAATAGGTCTTTTAATACTACTATCTCTAGATACACCCTTAATAGGTCTCTTAATACCGCTAGAAACGCCCTTTATAGGTCTACTAGTATTACTAAAGACGCTTTATACGAGCTCCTTAATAGGTTCGGAAGTACTCTCTTAATACTCGCCTAAGCCTAAATATAAAGACTATAGGTTATTATCTAACTTAAAAGACTCTAATATCTCTTTATTACTAATCGCAATAGGCGCGCTTAGATTTAGACCTAGTATAATTTTAAGAAGAAGCTAATCTATTAACTAACTGCGTAAGAGATCCGTAGTAGCTAATTACATTAAAGAAAAAGGGCTATATAGTTTAAGAATACTAGACTTCTCCCCTATTACTAGAAAATTTAGACCTTCTATACTAGATATAGGCACGTCTTTATTACTCTCTTATTAAGTAGGCTCTTCTACCCTAGAAGTCTTACTCTTAGACTACTTATTATTAAAAGGATCCCCCTCTAGAGGCGCCTTATAGGCCCTTAGAATACCGGCCGGAAGGAGATAAGCTATACTTCTAATAACGGCTAGGTTGCAATTAGGGGTATTAAATTCCTCTATTAATAGTTTATACTAGATCGCTACTTCTATAACCTTCTAGGTATTAATATAAACTATCTAGTTACCTTTAAGCTAGTACTTATCTTCTTCTAACTATAGGTACCCCTAGTTAATAAATACATCCCTCTCTATTACCCTAATAAAGAATAGATAGGTAAATTAGACCTCCTCTACTACTTAAAATATAGTATAAGTTACCTAAAACTAGTTAAGGGCCCTTTAGTACTACACGCAAAGGTACTCTTTTTAAGAAGTAGAGGTTCTAAAGAGTTTTATAAGGTTAATAATAACCGCGGTATCTCTCTAGAAGACTCTACCTAATAATATATCTAAGACTAAACCTAGACTATATAATACTATATCTAGAACTAAGGTAGTATTTTAAGGCTTAAAGACATTACTATTACTAAAGAATACGGGTATTGCGGATTACTTCTAAATATACGCGACCCTAATATCGTCTACATCCCTACTATATATAATCCTAAACTTATCCACTTTCTCTAGTCCTTATTATAGGTAGTCGCTATTGTATTCTACGCTTAGGTACTAGAGACGGAGATTATCTAGACTTAAGCCTTAATTCCTATTAATTAAGGCTTTTAGAATAAAAGAGTATATAATAAATATGTAATACCTATTACCGCACTCGACGATCTTTAGATAAAGTATCTAAAGATCCTACTATATAAGCTACTAAAATAGCGAGAATATTATATTTAGTAGATATAGCTCTCTCTAGAAATTATTAGAGTATAGGCACTTTTATTAGTACTACTAGTAGTACTAAAGAACCTAATTCCACTCTACGTGAACATCCTAGTACTAAGAATTAAGAATACTTCTAAGACTCTTATCCTTATAATTTAACTTAAGGCCCTCTATTACTTAATTATTTAGAAGTATTAAAAATCTAGGCACGGTTCCCTCTAATATAAAATCTAAAAAGATAGGAAATACCTATAACCTTTTAATTCTACTAGTATACTTGTCTTAGAAGTCTATAGTTCTTCTATTAAGAAATATTCTAAACTAATATATTAATTCTATAACTAATTACAAGTTTTAGAGACTAATATAAGAGATCTACTTTATATAGGTATAGAGAGTTTTAAGCGGTATATTATTCTATAGCTCTAAAAGCTTACTAAGTTCCTAAATATAAAAGGCGTAAAGCTCTTTTTTAAAGGACTTAAAATTAATTACCTTCTAGAACTATATCTTAATTATCTAGTTAGCTAGGTTTCTATTTAACTTCTTAAGTTTAGGCCTATCTATTAAGTTAAGAAGTCCTATAGGGACTCGCCCTAAATATTAATAGGCTAAGATCTTAGCCCCTTCTACTACTACGGGCCTATATTCTAGAAGTTCCTTCTTCTACTCTACGTCTAGTTAATCTATCTCCTCTATAGTCTTACTTTTCTTCTTACTCTTCTATATAATACTACCACCCGCGCTCTTATAGTCCGGGCCTATAACCTTCTTACTATTCTTTAATTAATTCTAGGATCTTATTATGCATTTTAGTGGTAATAAGCTAGGTAACTTACTTCTCTAACACTTCTTACTCTCTTTCTTTAAAGTGGACTATATACTAGCTATAGTAACTAGTAGTAGAAACACTAGACTATCTAGAGCCTTAATAATACCTTATATATTATATTCTATTACCTACCTACTACTCTAGGCCTTAGCGGTTATCTTCTTAGCTATAATTATACTAATCTAGTACTTTATTTAGCTTAGCTCCTCGCGTGTAAACAATCTTATAGCCGCTTTCTTAGGGCCTAGCCTAATAGAACGTTATAGGATATAGTTATTAATAGTATTAATTATATCTTACTTAGAGACTCTATTCTCAATCTATCCCTTAATTATTTATAGCTATTAATAGCTATAATTATGTTTCTAGAAGTAGCGCTTTAACCCTAGCTTCTTTATACTCTCTAAATACTAATTTATACGCTTTTAGATGTCTTTTAAATAGTCTATTATAGAGGACTACTTCCTCTTAAAGGTAGACGTAGACCCTCTTCGCTCTTTTTCCTATAAGTAGCCTACTAAGACTAGTATTACCGAATATAGCTTATCTTTAAGAATATCTAATACTTTAGATTCTAACTAGATAAAGGTATTAGTCTTATAGGCTACTAGGTATTATTTGTCTAAAGGTAGTAGGAGGAACTTACTAATAAACACATTCTCCTAGCTTATAATACCTATAAGGTAGCTTATATCCTAAACTCGCTATAAGCTAAGGTCTTTAAAAAGTAGGTTATTCTCTTAAAGCTTAATATTAGTGTCGCGGATAGCTTAATTAAGGTCTAGGTTTTAGCTTATTATAAGTATAAGACTCTATAAGCGCCTAGAGCGTTCCGCTTTAGCTATCTCTAACTATCTAATACTAAATAGCCGCGCAGCTCGCTCTACTAGCGTACCTATTATCTTACTTAGCGAGGGCGTCTTTTTAGTATAAAAGGTAGAGCCTAATCTTAATAGTAGCGCGAATATTAAGATAGGCGTAGAAGTAGAAGGTATAGATCTATATTATATAGTAGTAATAGGAGTAGAGAACTTAGGAATCTCTTATAAAGCGTCTTCCTTAAATAGCACTAATTGCCTCTTTTTAGGTGTTACTAGAACCGGCGGAGCTATTAAACTATAGTATAGGGTTATAGGCTTATCTAGTCTATTACTTATAGATATCTTTACGCGTAGAGAGAGCTATGTAATCGTGTATATATATATAAAGCTAACTTAAAGAAGGAATAAATATACTTAATTCTTCTAAAGACTTAGAAGAATAATAGAAAGAATTTTAAGCGCGTTATTATAGTATTATCTTTCGCGTTTATTATATTATTACCGCGTGAATAACCTTTTATATATAATACCTCTTAATCTAAATTAAGTCTAAATAGGACTAGTGCTACCCCTAAATACTTAAAATTAATAAAACTTTATAAAGTTAATAAAATAAGACGGAAATTAAAAGAAAATAATATAGAAGCTTTCAGCGTGTTATTTAAAGTATATAAAATGAATATAAAGAGTCGATAAAGTAGGAAGAGTTCCTACTAAAGTTATAGAAGTTACTTAATCTTACTACTTCTAATATAATATTATACGCGCGAGCGTAGGTAACTTAGTAG